ATAAAATCCTTCTCTTCTTGTGAGAAAGCGTCCTTGCAAACTAAATAAATGGAAATATATTAATCCAATTTCTTATTAACAAAACAATAAGTGACTAAGTTTAATTACTTACGTCGAGGATCAAGTATGCTCCACCAACTGTTGTTTATGATGCAAAAAGTTTAATTTACTTTTTCTCGTTAAAAAAATCTTTTTAAATAAATATTTTGTTAAACTTACCGATTAGCAATTTGTTTGGCATCGAAAGGAATCGATTCCATTTTACTTAATATTGAAAATGGATGTTTAACACATATATTATTGACCATAAAATCTTTAATAATTTGATCTTGCTAAAAAGTAACGAAAAAGGTTAATATATTAAATTTGTTTTTATCATATAAATATAAACCATTGACACTTACCTCTGGGGTGAACTTTAATTTTGATTTAATTTTCATCTTACAATATTTTTTTTTTTTTTTAAAAGGTTCTTGATTTAGAAGGAAAAAAGAAAAAGAAAATCTGAGAATTGAAAGGAGAAAATCTCACTCCTTTTTATAGAAAATTTAATTAATAAGAACGTTTATTTATTTATTTCGTATTCGATATTCACCCAAAATGCGATCAATTACGCATTGACCATCTGACTATCCTTTTTGCCTTTAATTTAATTTGTAGGATCATCCTTCCTATCTAATCTAATGTTTTTTTTTTTTACTTTTCTTTATTGGTTTCTGGATTGTTGTCACACAATGTTATTATGTCATTGAATTTATACTTATTAAGAATTTGTAGTTGTAAACAATAGGCAATGATAGATGAGGTATTTTCGCAAAAAAAAAAAAAAAAAAAAAAAGATTAATTTGCTCAGGTGGTCGAATGAATGGTCACATTATTTACCATCTCTCTCCTTAGTTTCAAAAGGATAAAAAAAGAGTGATGGCAGTAAATGCATCAGGTATTGGATCTATAATGAATTGATTTTATCCAATCTAATACAATACTTAATATAGCAAATGTTTATCCGAAAGCGAAATCCGATTTATCGAGAATCCCATCCAATGGCTTATAGCATGCATGGATCTTTTAGCTGTACAAAGTTGGCTCGGTCATTGAAATTGTATATAATGTATGATACCAACCTCTGCTTGACTCATCCGCGAATATTATTTTGAAAATTAAAAAATATATTAAAATGTATGCTAGAAACTGATCGCTCGGGAGTCAATGCTTTTTTTTAAGCAAGTGTAACGCCGGATATATTGTATTTTAAGAATCATTATGCAGTACATTTAGTCCCTTATATGGTAAGGATTTTCATTTATATTTGGTCATAATATAAAATTTTATAAAGCTAATGCCTTCAAATTTGACTGCAAAACCATTAGTAATATATATATATATACGTTGTATATATATGAAGCAAATACTAACAATACGTTTATTTAAACAATCTTTATCAACTATTGTCAATTCGCGATATAATTAGATTGGCTTCACATGAAATTTATGGTCGATACTTTTTTTTTTTTTTTATTGAAATAAAATAATAAATCAATTATTATCTATATCAAATTTTTTGATTTGGATTAATTAAAATTTTTTAAAAATTTACAAAAAGAAAAAACCAGTTTTCCAAAAAAAGAAAAAATGTTAAGACTAGATTAATTAAAATTATACAAATTTGCTTAATACAATATTAAGAAGAGTACTTGTAAATGTCGTCGTCATTTAAAATGTAAGAAAGTTTAGCTTTAGAATTATCGATATTATTCTTATTATTGCCCCTAGATAAATATCTTTTGTAAGAATACCAAACGTTTTTAAGATCATTGCGCGAATGGAATTTGCCAAACTTTTTTTTCATTTCCGATTGTAATTCGTTCCATTGAATGATTGGACGTGCTTTTTGATGTGACTCGACCCATGATTTAATATAAGACTTCTCTTCATTTATGATAGGTACTTTGCTGACTAAACAAAAGGATAGATGTTAATTCAACTATTTCAACTATTTTTTTTTTTAACAAAGTAATTAATGAACAATTTACTTACGACGATGATCAAGTTTGTTCCACCAACTAATAATTATGTTATGTTATAAGAGTAATTAATTAATTAATTGTTTTTTATAAACATAAGAAATATTTAATTAACTTACCGATGAGCTATCTGTTTTGCTTTTAAAGTAACATGTTCCTTTAAAAACAGCTTACTTAATTCTGCAAAAGGAAATTTTTCATTTTTATTCGCTTTCATATAATTTTTAATAACTTCATCTTTCTAAAAATTCAAAAGCATGTTTAGATTATAACGATTAGGGATAATATTAATAAATAGTATAATTACATGTGTATTGAACAGTCGCTCCTTATTTTTAGTCATTATTTTTAAAAATTTTATAAAGTGCAAAAAGAAAAGAAAGATAAAGTCTATTTATACATTTCTAGCAGTTTCAATTCTTTAAACTCATTTTATATTTCAATTATTATAAAAAATAAAATTTTAATAAACAAATAAATAAAAAATACAATGACAGCATTAATTGCTCCGGTCAATTATTATTATAAAACCTGAGAGTAAAATAAAAGTTCTAATAAAGTAAATAAAGTAATTATATAGTGCAACGATAATCAACGGAGATAAACTTCCGATTTATCAAACAAAGAGAAATGGTAAGATAAAAAATTCAGATATGCTGAAGAACTGGTTTGAAATGGATAATTAACGGAATCCCGTCATTGTCCGTAGCGTAATTTACAAGATACAGTTAGAGTGTAACACTGCATTTATATATTATGCGTCATTAATTGGCTATGAATTTTACAAAATTTTATTTGTTGAAAGCATTAAAAGGATATCATTTGGAAAATTAGGTTCTAAAAAATTTTTGACAAATTGAGCATTTGATCTAAAATAAATGAAATGCATTTTACCACGAATCCAACATTGCTTACGGTGAAGTGTGTAATTACGGTATAATTTTAAATGCATGATGCACTTTTAACAATAGAAAAATCGGATAAATGCTGTAATACCGAATTATTATTGATATAAATTAGATTTTAGGCACATTCAAAAAAAAAAAAAAATAAAAATAAAAATCAGAAAAGCATATTTTCATAGGATTAACTTTACATATTGTTCTATTATAATCATATCAAAATTATTTGTAAATTATTGAGTTTATTTTATAAAAAAAAAAAAGTTAAAATTAAAACAGTTCAGTGTTTTTGTAGCAATTTATTGAAAGAAGTAACAAAAAGCCAAAATAAAAAAAAATTTTCTGCAGTTCAAAAAAATTAACAATGCAATGGATAGAGAAATAAAAAAATTATTCAAATGCTACGACACAAAATTTCAAAATTCTTATGTAAGCCAAAAAATATGAAATTAGCCTTCATTTATATATAAAGCATAATAAAGAAAAAGAGTATATTTATAGCATACTTTCCTTTATTTATCAAAAATAGGTACACTAAATTTCTATGGTATTATAAAAATTTAAATCATGGATGTTTACAGTATTGGGTTAGTATTAACCGGTTCAGGATGTTCATACAGTGCTTTGACACATCTGAAAATTTTTCTTATTTTATCCATTTCTCTTTGCTTATTACAGTCGGAAGCTAATCTCCATTGCTTTCATTTATGTTGTGTAACACAATTTTTTTATTTGCCCCCACATATTCACGAGATTTAATTTAAATAATAAAATAAGATTAAAGAAATTTCAAAGAATGATGCAGTAAAAACAACAACATAAGCATGAATCATTTCTCAATTCTCATTGTTACAATCGGAAGTGATAATCCGTTGTCTTCAGAAACACAATTAATAATGTTACATTATCTATGATTGTATGATCATCGCACAATTTCATAATCTTTAAACTATAATATAAAGAGTTATAAAAGAAAATTGCACAGTTAAAAAATTTATTTAGATAAAACATCTGAAAGAAGATTATTTTAGAGGAATTCGTTTAATAAATTTTAAGCTCTTTTGATTACATTTAAAATTGTTATAGAAAATTATTCAAAAAATGAGGTCGAAGTTCTCTCAAGCTGTATGCAAAACAATTTATTAACGTCCTTATCTTTACTTATAATGGAAATCGATTTAACAAATTTTTTAATTCATTTACAAGAACGAAAAGATTATTATTGATTACATGGCGATTAATTATGGAAGCGTTGAATATCCATTTGCAGCATTAAGCAAAATGATTCCTTATAGCCCCAAGCAAATAGCTGATCAGTAAGTCAACAAATATTATTTATCAAGATTATATTTTTACAAAAAAAAAAAAAAAAAAAAATGAATTAACTTTTTACATAAATATTAGTTGGTGGAATGCTTTGGATCCTCGTAGTAAGTTATTCGTAGTTGTTTAATTTCTTTAGCAAATTAAATGAGTTAATTTCTTTTCTTTGTTTAGTAAGCAAAGTACCTTTCTCAAAAGAAGAGAAGGATTTTATATATGCATGGGTCGAGAAATATTCAAAACCACAAGATACTATCCAATGGAAAGATTTACAGCCTATAATGGAAGCCAAGTTTGGTAAATTTCGTTCGCGTAATGATCTAAAAAACGTTTGGAACGCTAAGAAAAGACGAATTAAGAGAATTAATCGAGTATCAAGCGAAGTTAATTCCATTTCTCCCGATGACGAATATGAATACGACGAAGGGAATGAAAACAATTGAAGCTGGTTCTTCCAACATAAACCGCTGTTTGTTTAATGTTTAATTAAGATAATTAGGATTCATTATGAATGGTCGCCACAAATACAACTTTATTACCACAAATTTCATTTATTTTTTATTTTATACAATATTATTTAGACATAAATTCATAGATTTAGAGAAAAAATAAACTTATGGGAATAATCTAAAAAAAAATAATTAAAAATATGTTAAAACCTAAGCCGTTCATGTACTAAATATTAATTGAACTCTTTCTTGAGCAAGATTAAAAGCTTTAACGCAAATGTGGAAATTTCATCATTCTTTTCAAAAATCAAATAAGGATAATAAAAGAGCGGGATCTTTAAATTATTGCGCAATTGTGTATGTGTAAATAAATGTCAGTTCCTTTTTTCTCTAGCAATTTAGTTATTATTATTTGACTAAAAAACGTCTCGCGAATAAAAATCGTGTTTAGTCCAATTTAGATGAATTTTATGATTTTATGAGATCTTTATCAAGAATTTTTAATTTTAATGTTTATACTTCACATATTATATTTCAATCAAGTATTACTTGAACTTGATGCATATAATTAATATAATGTTTGTTTATTGATTTTATTCAAGTTGATTATGCTTAAATAGAATTGTATGTATATGGGAGTGTTTCTAGGAAAATCAGGTTCTGAGAAATTTTTGACTAAAATTAAGAGCTTAATACATTTTAATCTAATTACATCAAAAACTAAAATGCAATAAAAATCTCAATTTTGCTAAAAAATTCCCGGAACCTGATTTTCCTAGCAATCTACCCATATATGATCTAAAATGTGGTCTAAAAAAAATAATATAATGAATACATTTTTAATTTCCTATTATTTAATTAACTTTTGAGTGCGAAAACTAAATAGAGCAAAATCCATTTGCAAAATTAAGAAATTGATTTCTTAAAGCTCACTCATCAGTAAGTTAACAAATAATAAAGATACATACATGTACATTAGTTGGTGAAATGTATTGGATCTTTATGTCCAAATTTTTATTTTATTTTATTTTTGAAACATTTAACTAATTTCTTTTGTTAAGTTAGCAAGGAATCTTATATACTGAAGAATCTATGTATGAATTGATAAATATGGGAACGACGTTTTAGAAACTGTAAATTCTGGTCTATAAAACTTTTGTTATTCTTCTACGAAGGAAATAAAGTTTAAGATAGCCTGTTAATATTATAATGGCAAAGCTAAAATTCCTCATTTTTTGTATTGTATTTTTAAAGAATCCGATCAACTTTAGATTTCGACGGAACCATAGAGTTGAAACTATTTATTAACAATCCCGTCGCAAGTCGAATCATAGGGTTTCGACTTTTGTCATTTGCTAAAATGAGATTTGTCTGCAACTATAATCAACTTATGCAGTGTGGCAATAGAAATTGTAGGCTGTTTAACCATATCAAATGCCAACATTGAATGAAATTTTATATTATATTTTATAGAGCAGAGCATTTTTTTCTTTTGTCTTATGTTTTATTGTTTTACTATTTTGTTTAAAATAAAGTATATTTAATTTTCAGAGTTAAAATGTAACTGTCATTATATAATTTGGTATTATTTCCATTCTTATTGTTACAATCGGAAATTATGTTCCGATGCTTTATACAGAAATCGATTTAACCAATTTATCCATTGATTTACATGCTGTTACCAACCTTGTGTACCCTCCTTTGGCGTTGATTACATCATTTACCCTTTCTGGCAGAAATTCGATTAAGCTCACAGTTGACTTATTTGATAGTGGTACAAGAATTATTTTCTATCAAGATATTTCAAAAAGCCACCCACTTCCCAATATTAGAAACTATAATGATTCATGAGATATATAAATGAATATTCAACTACACAATCTTCTTAATTATTAGAAGAATTCGCTAATTAATTTTTTACACCCTTATTAAAACTTATTACATTCAGAAAATTAACATACAATGAGACCTAAATTATCACGAGAAGTATGCAAAGACAACTGTTAATTCTGATGGAAACGAAAAATAATTAATATATTTCTTTAATTTTTTAGCACGATCAAATTATTAGAGATTTTATGTACAAGAATAAATCCGTTAAATATCCATTAGCAACATTAAGTAAATCGATTCCTTTCACCTCCAAACAAATAGCTAATCTGTAAGTTCACAAAATATAAATTTATCAATAATTTTTCTAACGAAACAATAAATTAACTTTTTACATCATAACCTTAGTTGGTGGAATAAACTTGATCCTAATCGTAAGTAATTAAATCTTGATCACTTTTATTTTTTTTGTAAAAAAAAAAGAAAAAGAAAAAATTAATTTATTTTCCTTTTAATAGTTTGTCACGAACCTTTCTCCCTAGAAGAGAAGGAGTTTATTTATAGATGGGTTCCGAAACATACACAACCAAGACAAAAAATTCAATGGAAAGCTTTACAGTCCGAAATGCAAGCAAAATTTGGTAAATTTCGTTCGCGTAATGATCTAAAAAACATCCGGAATTCTAAGCAAAGGCAAATCAAACGAGCAAAAGTCGAAGTTAATTCCATTCTTCCCGATGACGAGCATGAATTCGACGGGGAGAATGTCGATGAATTATACCGCGATTATAAAATTGATATCGAAGCTGGTGATAATATTGCTGTAATCGAAGCTGAAGCCGGTGCTTCAAATAAAGCTTCTATTGATTATATGTTAAATAAAAATTAACTCCACATCTATTTTAATGCCTTTCTTAGTAAATGATAGCAAATAGAGAAATTGATTTTTTCATTCATCATTATTTTACTTTTAGACCTTTAAATTAGACAATATAGAAATAAATAGGTTTTTTTTAAAAATAATAAATATCGTACGATTTATTATTATTATATAAAAAAACTTAAAACCTTTATTAATATACAACTCTAAGCTATTTTACTTGTTTTTCGTAATTTGGTGAATTATTTTGTTTTTGTTTTTTTTTAAAAAAAAATTTATTATTCTTTAACTGTGACATACAACAAATAAAAAAGATCCCGGTTTATGTAACGAAATCTAAATATATTTTTATGCTTTTCTAAATTATTTCAGCGAAGTAAAAATCATAAATTTGTCATTATTTTGATAAATATGAAAAAAAAGAACTTTTGGTGGAAATATGTAAAGAACTCCTTAAGACACGCATTTAATTGCACGAGTAATACATCATCTAATTTTCGGATAATTGAACCTTTTGTTTTATATCATTTTTTTTGCACGAGATAAGATTTGATATGCATAATTAATCAGTTTATGAATCTCATCATTTCAAAAATCTAAACGTAAACGTCAATAAGAGCCATTTTTTTAAAAAAAAAATTAGAAACATAAAATTTCATTAATATCAACTTTACAGAAAATTTGTTTTCTTACTATGCTGTAACTGCATTGCATAGTACCTATTTGGCCGTGATTAAGCTACTTCTAAGTAAGGTAGTAACTATATATTCATTGTATAATCACTTTGACGTGACGTTACTTCGTATTAAGAAAACCATGTTTCTGTAAAGAATATAAAAAATAGATTACACAATTACCCATGAGTCCACAAGGTATGATAAACGTCGGTTGGACCAATAGGTTACGAATTTATGGGATATACGGCAATAGGAACTCAGTAATTTGAAATTGTTCCATTCACAGATCGAATTTATTGTTCAATTCCGGCTTAAATGCAGGGCAGGAAGGTTAATCGTTTAATATTAAACTCAATTTTTGCTTACTAAAATTTGTAAATTCAAGTGATAATGGTAAGAATGTAAGTATAACTAAGGTGCATAATTGGACATCTCTTTTAAAATTGAAATAGCTCAATAAAATTAACACCAATTCCTATCAGTGAAATTTGTAACGGATATCAGTGAGATAAATGTTTTATAGGCTCAAAAACATATGTTAGCATGATGAATTAGGTTCTAGTAGAGCCCTTAGCGAAACGTTATATTGACTATGAAAATCTATATCAATTTAAATAATCAGAAAAATTTAAGCCTTATCGTTATTGAATTTTAAGAGAAATTGGCCATAAGGTTATTTTATAAGCTTACTTTAGTTACTTAGTTATCAGAATTTACTTATTAGAATTAATAAAAAATAAATAAAATATATAGCTGCGATTGATTCGTAATTTAAAAAACTTTGCATAAATGTCATTTAAATATATTAATAAATATAAATATTAGTAAAATGAGATGTCAGCAAAATGGCTTTCGGTGAAAATGTATCGGTTAAAGGCAGCGATTAATCGTATTGTAACCATAGAATACATCTAATAAATCAAAGTCATTAAAATTGTTATAAAAAAATATTTATATAATCGAATCATTTACCGTCAGGAATTTCTAATTCATCCTGTTCTTCTGAATGAAGGTTTGAATCATTATATGATTCATTCTCATCATCCATAAGATTAAGGACTAAAATATGAATATGAATATATTATTATGAATTTAAAATGATTCTATTTATCGTTAATTTCAATATTTGCTTTTCCTTTTTAAAAAAATTTCTATTAATATCGAACAAATACCTTAAACACTTTAGCATTTTTGGCATACATCAAAACATATTCGCAAACATCAAAAATAAAACTCTGTTGCCTTACAATTGTATAAGATCCTACTTACCATAAATTAAACTTATTCGTAATTTTTTACTACACTCTAATTGTTAAAAAAATTTAATGATGTTAATTTTAAAATATTAAACATTTATTATATTATAATTATTTACCTTTAAAATGAACGACTTTTTTTGATGAGGCTTTATCACTTAAATTAGTAAAATCATCAACTAAAAATAAGAAATGGTTAATAAAATATTACATAATAACCTAAAATTATCATTACTTACTATTATCAGGAATATTAAAGTCGTACGGTTTACTATGAAATGCTTTTATGATTAATAAATATAATAATATTATTAAACCTAGTCTGAAAAAATTGATTATTTGATATATAATATAATATTAAAAAGATAAAAAAAATACCTTCTTGCTCTTCTATTTTTATTAACTAATAAAATTTAGTTATACAGTGACTTCCATAATTATTAAATAATTATGTGACTATAAAGCTAAAATTTTAAACCAATTTAAAGCCTGTAATCGGGATTTTTAATATATTTAAA